TATATATATATATATATATATATGCGCGTGTGTGCGTGCGTCCATGCGTCCATGCGTGTGTGTGTGCCAAGAATTGTACGATAAATTTGCATTTTAAATGATTAATTAATGTGTTTTGAATGCGATACGTAACTGGAATTACTAGAGAATATTCATCTCCAGTAGTAGATGTCATATGTTTTCATGGTTGCTTCACTGCATTCCCTTGTAGTCGTTGTCAATGTAGGCAAAGACTCGCGGCTTCTAATTAACCTTTCTTTATTTTCTAGGTCAGCAGTATTCAATATTCTCATCATCATAGCGCTGTCTTCTGCACTTGCTGGGCAGGTAAGAATAGTTTATGTCAGATAACCCATCATCTATCAGATGTAGGCACAGTGCCTCTACGATTAGGCTAGCCGTATAAATTGTATATATCATTCCATATAACACATGATATGACAGCAACCCGGCATGATTTCCATTCTCGGATAACTCCGATAGAAGTATAGACGATAGCAGGTTGCATCGCACAATTCGATCGGAACTTTTTTCGCGCGATCTCATGTCTCTCTCCTGTCCATTGCGATTCACTTTCTATAGCGAAGGAAACTCGTTATCATATCGATTTGCCATCGGAGCGCGAGATGTATGTATACTATATCGCGACGCATGGCGAGAACCGATTGCGTATCACGCTCGCAATTAACGTTATAGACCATCCGCGTTGTTTCTTCGCGGTTTCTGTATCTTCTGTTGAGGAGTTCTCGTTACTATCGTTCTGCTAACAAATCGCATGCGTCCGTAATTGTGCACGCGTGAAAATTTCCCTGCGATTAACGGAAAGTATTTAATCGTGTCGTGCGATTTCATAGCATGCTCGACGTGTATGTATGTAGCGTACTCGTGCAGCATTCCACGCGCGGTGACCCAGCTATAGGAGGCTGTTCAACGTGATCACTACAGGGGTAGAATTTAACTTTTGAACACGGGAGTCCAACGGACTCCCTACCCTCAAAAAGAAAGAGTCCGCGGCAAAATGAGGGAGTCCGCAGTCTGAGGTTTAAAATTTAAAAGATATTAACAATTGCATTGTGCTTATTTTTAAGATTCATGCAGTTGCACGTCTGTCAAATTTTCTTTGGGCATTACCTGAATAAATATGGTAATTCTGCGAGGCCGTGCTCCGAACGAACTAGTTAGTATGGCAGAATCTTCAGGGAGTCACACGCACTCCTGCATATGTCAAATCAGGGAGTCCGACAGTAAATCAGAGAGTATTTGACTCCGGACTCTCGTTAATTTCGCACCCTGTCACTATATCGTCAATTAATCATCGGCTGTATAACGCCAACGGGGAATCCGCGCAGGAATTCTGTTAATCGTGCAGAGAGCGCAACGCAGATTTTGAGCGCGGGTAAAATGATCAGATCTTGCCTGGAATTAGTGGGTTTCTGCATGCGAAGGCAACATGCAACGCGCAACCAGCTGCCGGTTAAGGATCTTGAAAATCAGTTTTCTGTTTTCGGTTCTGGTCATTCCGGTCCCAGATCACTGATCTCTGTATACTAAGTTAGTATATAGAAATCAGTGTTCCAGAACCGATTGATTTATCATCACAGCAAATACTGGATGATGCAATTATCCTGCTCATGTCTCTCTCTCTCTCGCGCGCGCGCGTGCTCTCTCCATCTCTCTCTCTCTCTCTCTCTCTCTCTCTCTCTCTCTCTCTCTCT